CGAGTTTCGCCTCGGAAGTGGTTGTAGTCACAATTTGCCAGGTCGCATTTAATAACATGCAATTTGCGTTTACAAAATAGTCTGTATGATAAAGTCTAGTATTGAAGGCGATATTAGCGATCTATGATTTTGGCTTGCTGTCGTGTTGTCGACTTTTCGCCTCGGAAGTTGATGTAGTCTCTACTTGCAAGGTCACATTAGAATACGCGCATTGATAATTGAATTTCATTTAGGCCTACTGTGGTTTCATACCGCATATAAAATATACAGGTTTTCCCGATTGTATATTATTATTTTATTTCAAATTATATTATCACCATGGGTAGGAAATGTAAGAACGAGTCGAATATAGTGACGTTTCAGTACCGCCGCCAAAATTCTCTAATGATTGTAAGCATGTCTTACAAATAAAATTGAAATTTCTATGAGGATTCAGATTCTGGGTCATTACGGTACCTGCAATTAAGAATAGGCCTATTGTACATGCAAAACTTTAAAAAGGGAAATCCTTGGATGAGACTGGCGTGTAGAGGCTGAATATATATTGTTCTGTAGCGGGGTGGGGGTAACGTCCACTTGAGACAAACTAAGAGTTATTCAGTGACTAACATGGTGCAATTTTATTTTAAAAATTGGCGATGAGAGAAAGAGAAATTAAATGAAATTGGGGTTTAACATCCTACTGTTCTGCTCCGAACTGGGCTAATGAAGACGGGCATACGCCATACAATGTGCTATAAGGGAAATTTTGCCCGGACAGCGGCAATACGGTCTACACTTATATCGAATCCGAACTGTCAAGGGATATTTTACGTGCACGCCAATGTGTACACGGGACCTCGGTTTTTTTGGTCCCATCCGAACAACTAGACAGTTGTCCTTGTCAGCCCCCCCCCCGTCCTGCATCACTGACAAGGGGGAATCCGCCGGAAAATCTGGATGAACTTTCTCGGCCAATGCAGGGATCGAAAACCCGACCTCCACGTCCTGCATCACTGACAAGGGGGAATCCGCCGGAAAATCTGGATGAACTTTCTCGGTCAATGCAGGGATCGAACATCCGACCTCCAGGCTGGCTTAACATCCACTCGTTGCAAACTAAATCATTTCAATAATTTGTTTGCACGTAGGGGTCTTTAGCAGTGGATAGAAGCTGGGGTATCCGGAGAAAATCCACAAGGTTGGACAAGCGACCCTACTCCCTTGTCATGTCCAAGCGGGGAATCGAGACCACACCACTTGAATCAATGTCAGACCTTGTGATTTCACGCGCACGCGTTAAACCACTAGACCACCCAATCCTCATGTATGTTGTTGTATATTGTATATATCGGTACGGGAAATTTGTTTTATAATAGGCCTATATAATAAATTAAATTGTTGTAGCCTAAGATGTTTTTTTTTATCAAACATTTTTGGCAGATAAAATATCCCAGTTGGCGGGAAAAAATATGAACATTTTTTTTATATAAAAATTATTATCCATTTTGACGGAAAAGAATGAAATACAGTGTGAGCCCTGATTGCACGTGTTCAAATGCGACCTGGAAAACTGAGACTACAACAACTTCCGAGGCGATCGAAAAGTCGCTAATAGCGTGGTGTGTTAATTTCCTAATTTCTACTTTTCGAGTTGCATTTTGGCTTGGTATGCGTGTTGGCGCCTTCTTACTGACATCAATAAATACAAAAATATGACTAAGTCGAAAGTCGACAAGACGGTATACAAGCCAAAATGCAAGTCGAAAATATAGAAATTAGGAAAAAACAAGGGGCGCTATTATCGCTGTAAGTTATTTCTTAATTTCCTATTTTCGAGTTGCATTTTGGCTTGTATAGCGTGTTGGCGCCTTCTTACTGACATCAATAAATACAAAAATATGACTAAGTCGATAGTCGACAAGACGGTATACAAGCCAAAATGCAAGTCTTTTTGCTTATAATTAAATGTTACTTAGACTCATAACCGATGAAACGAAATGAAATGCAGTCTAACCTGGCAAATGAAAACGGACACAACGACCGCAGTGGGTCTTCATCGAATTTCAACTGAGAAGGGTTCTATAACGTACAGGGATGGGCCTTGGTTTGTTTACCATTAAAGGACTCGATATCCTGGCACCACTGACGATGGAAACCAGGCTAGAAAATCCCAATGGAACTTTCTGGGCCAATCGAACACGGGACCCCCTAATTGGTGAGCTAGAACTGATAATCGTATGTTCAAAAATGTAAAAGTAGAGATTTGCTTTTATTTTACTTACCTTATTTCCAATAAATGACGTAACAGTATACAGAAATGGGTTTAAAGCTGAATTAACTAGTAATATATACTATTCAAAAAAAGTAGGGGATATTTGATTTTGGGGGCATAATACTAAAATATGCAAATGACTACGAAAAAAGTCACTATAGAACCTAACAGAAGAAACATTTCCAGTTACATGTGACGCCCAAACGCACCAATAGCTACCGCATGGAATGCAGGTGATGCTTGGGATCATCATGGGGGTCCAACCCAAGATTTGCACGACTCTGACTTTGAATGTTACAGTCATTGTGGCATTGAATTCCAGGGTGGAAACATCAGTTTAATTGTTTTAGTGACCAGAAAACAAATTTTGATATGCGTCGGCTTACCCAAAATGAAAGGTTACGTGCCCTTGGCATGCTACAGATCGGCACAACACAGGCGGTTGTGGCGCGAACGATGAATGTTTCTCAGTCTGTCATAAGCAGGCTATGGTCCAGATACCGTGATACACAATCTGTACAGGACAGACCACGCTCAGGTCGACCAAGGGCGACAACTCAAGCCCAGGATCGATTTATCCGTACCTTGGCCTTGAGAAATCGTGTCATCACAGCAAATCAGATCAGCGCTCGTCTTCAAACAGACACTGGTGTGAGAGTGAGTGGCCAGACGATTCGGAATCGACTGCATAGGGGTCACCTTCGCGCCCGACGTCCTCGCGTGATCCCTTGTTTGAGAGATCATCACATTCAGGCAAGACGTCGTTGGTGTAGGGATCGTCAACACTGGGATAATCGACGCTGGAGCAATGTGATGTTTTCAGATGAGTCAAGGTTCACTGTTGATTTTTTGGACAGACGTAGGAGGGTGTGGCGTCGTCGAAACGAGCGCTTCCAAGACGTTAACGTCATCAGACATGATCGATTTGGGGGTGGTTCTGTTATGGTGTGGGGAGGCATCACTGTTGCTGGAAGAACGGCTTTACATGTTGTTGCAGGGCGTGTTACAGGCCAGTACTACCGGGACAACATCTTGGCAGTCCATGTTGTGCCGTTCGCACGACGTCATGGCCGCCGTTTCATCTTCCAGGATGACAACGCAAGATGTCACAGGGCCAGGATCGTTACAGGTTACCTCCAACAACAGAACATCACCACATTACCTTGGCCAGCACTGAGTCCCGACCTCTCCCCCATCGAGCATGTCTGGGACATGCTTGGACAGAGGTTACGTCAACGTCAACAACGTCCTGCCAATGTCCAAGAACTTGCTGCTGCGTTGCAACAGGAATGGGACAATCTGGACCAAAATGACCTTAGACGTCTCATTAGGAGTATGCCACGTCGGATCAATGCTTGTTTGGCAAACAGAGGAGGATTTACCCGTTACTGACTTGGTTGTGATGCTGTGGTAACTTTGCTGTTTGACCCCGGGTATCATTTTACCCTTATAATGGTCAGTCTGTGCCTTACTTAGTCTAACGATCATTTGGAATAAATCGATGAATGTGAACTTCATTTCATTTTGTCATTTGTTTCTTCGTCAGTTTCATTAGGTGACTTTAATAACACTTAAAAATCAACTTAAAACGTAAAGTTTAATATGGGGACACCTCATTTTCCCCACATCTTTTGATTAAGAGTCTAGGTCCACCCGGCCATGACTAATTAACCAACAAAGGGGGTTTAAGGGGATTTAAAGTATAGTCTGTAACAAGTTTGTGACACTTCAACATAGTAAATAAATAAATAAATACATTTTTATAGAATAAATATTTATAAGCAGTTTGATATATAATAAGTACAAATATATAATAAATAATTATATGTGCATATATTAACTGAATACAAACATGTTTATAGTATAAATATTTATAAACAGTTTGATAAACATGATTTAACTCTGAATTTAAAACCATCTAGCACTAAATTCTGACCACCTTTAGTATTAGCAATGTATTTAAAGTTAACCAGAGCGTTCGCCATTTTGGAATGACCTTTTGCGTGTGTGTGAAATAGCTTTATTTAACGTCCGCTTCCACCGAAGTGATATCGCAGACAAAACCATTTGCGTTCGTTCGTTTCTAGAGTTTTACGTCCACTTCCACCTAGGGTGATATCGTAGACAAGAAAAACCATTTGCGATTCAGAGGAGCTATAATTATATATCAACCGATAAGCTATGATTAAATATCAATATTTTATTTGTTTTTATTTCAAATTAATTATTACATCAAAACAGCTCACAATGTAAATTTATTAGTAAACTGATTTCAATAATTTGCCCAATCTACTGATAGTGGGAAGTGTTCACCAGTAACAATAATTAGAGTGAGAAGTTTACACCAGTGATACTAATTAATTAAAACAGACTATAGTCCTACACCCACGATCTACTAACCTTCTAATCCTTTATCAAAACAATCAAATGTGGGGAAAGTGAGGTTAAACGTTTAATATGTATATATGCATCATAATTATTTACACTGCCATTAAAAAATAATTATTCAGTAGATCAACGCTACGGGAATTTGCTAAATATATATATGTTTATAGTGTGAGTCTCTTTCATTCCAACCTATAAGGTATCGGATTCGACGGGAATAGTTCTGAGCAAAAATTCAACCATTGTGTAACTAGCTGTAAGACTATTCGCGTAATGTACTGATGTGAAATCTATCGATTCACCATTCTGCAGTATTATTTCATATACAAGAAGATGACCCCCTTTCTTCTTAACCAAGACAGAATAGACTAGAATGACTGAGACATGTTTATTATAGTGTTCAACACCACCCTGGTGACCACACGCCCCCATTTTGTTTTGCTTTTTCCACGGCTATATCTGAGTGTTTTGGGTAATTTGCTTTAACGTAACTTTGTCGGTATTCATTTATCCTTGCTGTAAGATTTTGAACGATGTCAGGATAATCTGCAGCAAGATCATTTAATTCCCTTGGATCCTCTGAAAGATAATGCAAAGAACTCGAATTTAATATACAAAAGGATGTTTTTGACTTAATTCCAGTGTGCCAATCGAGCATGCCACAATTCTTGAATTCTGGTTTACAATATAAAAAAATAAAGTGGCGCGTATTATGAGATGATTGAGTGAGTAAGGCATGTCTTCGCTGAGAAATGGCGAAATGGTTTGTAATGTAATTTGACTATACACCAGAACAATTCCAGTGCTGGTGATCGTAGCCTCTGCACTTTCAAAATCGCTTCTAGTAGTCTAGTTTTTGTGCTTTCGTAATATTTAATAGTGGTTATATCTATATATTTAAATCAATAATACCTATAACATTGAAGAGTCTTGCTGGTGAATCTCCAGTATTTGGGAAGATGTAGTATGTAAGGGGTGTGTCTTTAGTATCGTTCATAGGTTCATACCATCCGTCTATACTACCTGGATAACCCAGTAGTAATTTCCAGTCACCCATTCTAATAGGAAATAAATATTATCTATTAATATCATCAACAACCTGCCAATTACTAAGTGAAATACATAACATCAATGAATATTATGAATAATTCTCCCCTTACACAAGGATATCAATATTGTATCTTATTATTACCAACAACTCTTAACTTGCAAATGTACTGCATTGCAATAAAATTAACCAAACGGGACGTCAGCTGTCACGCATTAGGTGGCAATATAAAAGTCTTGTTTAAGCAGTTAATAAAAGAATAAACTTGAAGAGCTGATGAAGTGACAGCACCAGAGTGGGGGTGACGCATATTCCAAAATTAATGTATGTTCTTTTCGAAAAGAAATAGTTAGCCATATCGTTGGCACCAACATAGAATAGGCCTGAATGGTGTGTAACGGACGAATTTGAAAATTGACATTACTCTAGGTTTTAGAGAAGAACCAAAGATATTTCGTACAAAGAAAGGTTACATGTATGTGGTCATGTTAACTAAATATTATTGTTACCTTATACCCGCATGGCCCTGTGTTGGAATATAAAAATCATCTAAATTATAAATAAATTCTGTTCTTTTAGAAGGTTGATTTAATCTAATAGAATCCCATTGGTTGATTCCATCAATACCAGGTACTGAAAATAAGATCAAATACAGTATAAATTACTAAACTAGATAGACGGCTTAATACAAGCTAAAACACAATTGTGATGTAGTACACGACATTGATTTAACAAGAATGTGTATATATTCAGATGTTTATTTAATCTAGTGTGGTCAGGTCCATACCAGAAGTACGAATTTTGGTTATACGCTTTGAATCTAAATCACTCGGTATGGCGACTTTGGTGATGACCATTAGCCAAATGTTGCCTTGTACTCATTAGCATCTGTTTCTGAACTATAAGCCCATTTATCTGAGACACCCCATCTGGAAAATAACATAACGTTGCCTTCTACTGATTATTAAATTTGTAACCTTCTTATATAGTATCATTCTTAATATCCACAAGAGCTCATACATAACAACTATTTAAAGTATAGTATCGCAACCTCACCTTGTTCAGCCCCAGCAGCACCAATTAATGTTGGCATCCAGTCAACAGCGTGTAATAAACTGGAATTAAAAGCGACTACTTTAATTATCATTTTAAATATCCAGCTTACCCGAAAGAACATAGGTTATTATCAATTTCAAATATTATTTGTTAGCTAACCGAAACTAAGATATTAAAAAATGATTGTGTAACCACTTACCCAGTATGTGTAATGCCAGTTTCTTGTAAACCATACCCTGACATGAAAGACGTCACCCTTGTGCCGCCTTCCCATAATGTGTGTTTTCCTCCTCTTAGAGGCCAGTTATTTCCATATGCAATCAGCTCAGCGCCATTCTTTCAACGGAAAATATACAAAAATAACCATTAAGGGTATTTCCCAAGGAATTGCATCTACTGTTTAAAGATATCCATGTCTTTCCAATAAGAAAGCTGACAAATGACATACATAGTTTAATTTTAAATAATAGGTTCAAGAACATATTACATGTCTTTCCAATAAGAAAGCTGACATACATAGTTTAATTTTAAATAATAGGTTCAAGAACATATTATTTAAAATTAAACTATGTATGTCAGCTTTCTTATTGGAAAGACATGTAATATGTTCTTGAACCTATTATTTAAAATTAAACTATGTATGTCAGCTTTCTTATTGGAAAGACATGTAATATGTTCTTGAACCTATTATTTAAAATTAAACTATGACATACATAGTTTAATTTTAGAAAATAGGCTCAAGAACATATTTCAACTGGTAACCAATCTCTTAACTTACTTTCACTGTACACAAATAACATATATACATGTAACAAAGTTCAATTAAGGGGTCTCTTATTTAGACTTTTATAAACCGGGCTTCCCAGGGATCGATGCTTTGAACCCCTGTATTTTGTTTACTTATAAATGAAATAGGCTTCAAGAACATATTGTAATATAATACTAGAACACTTATTATGGATACAATCACTTGGTTTATTATAATATTTGTAACTAGTACCCAACCTCTTAACTTAATTTCATTGTACACAAACAACATATAAAAATCAATTAATATTATTAGGTGTGTAACACCAGTTACAAAGGGTCCCTTATTTAACTGTTTATAAACCGAGCTTCCCAGGGATTGATGTTTTGGCCCCTTGTATTTTGTTTACTTATAAATGAAACCTTGCTTATTATTTAATATCCTACTTACATCAGCTGTCAATAATATAAGTGTATCTTCATACATTCCTTTATCTTTAAGTGTTTGTGTTATATTACCAATAGCTTCATCTAATATAGTTACCATACCTGTATAGATTGTAAAAATATATGACATTTTTTTGTTGTTATTATTTGAAGATGGCCGTGATTGTATTAAATGAACAACGTTTATCTGTTTTATTACTTACCACAGAAATTTTTCCTTCCCCAGTTTCTGACATACGGGTACATATTCGCATACTTTGGAGGTACCTAAAATACATTTACTTTAAAATAAAAAGCATCTACTGTACATAGGGCTAACTGACGCCCTACCATACAATCTATCCCAATAAGAGTGTGAAAATTATATCAAAAAAAAAAATTATTTTATAAAATTTCACAAAGTGGAGAGTTGGTGCCATGTATCCCACCAAGAGAAGATATACTCTCTTCGTGTACGAATCCCTTGATTACTGCTAGATTATTGCTCTGATGTCGAAGGTATCCTCGGGACAATGCCCCTCCCCCTCCCTCTTCATCCCAAATAACAATATGAAAACTTCAATTATTATTCTTTTTCTATAAAACATGTAAAGTTGACCTTTTTGTTCAGTTTCTGTATAATGACATTGTAGCTAATAAAACTGAACGTCATACTCGGGTCTAGATATACATCACAAATCACTACCAACACCCCGATTTTTCATTTGGGGTTGGGGGGGGGGGGCATAGCCAAATATAATGCGGCTGGGTCTGTTTAATCAATGTTAAGACCTTGCAGAATACGGATAGCCAACCACTCATTGAACTTAAGCAGTTGTTAATTTTTTAATAAACTTTACCTCAATAGGAGCATGTACATTCTGGAATGGTAGATACATAAATAAAGGCTGATCTGCGTTATGGTTAGTTATTATCTGTTGAGCTCTCTCGGCAAAGAAATACTAAAATGTTAAATAGAATAGTTCTTTAGTTTTGCTGTTGTCTTTTCTAACTTTAAAATAGACGAAAATAGATCTAAACGCCCAAATTAACGTAATATGGGTGTATATAAAGTGAATTACATTAAATTTATTTAAATTTATTGTAATTTCTAATCATTTATGTTCGGTGAAATACGTAAACAATCCAAATCGAACGAAATTTGTTTGCGCCTGCTTAGTCCGTTATCCACGTTGTTTATTATTATTATTATTATTATTATTATTATCACGAATCAGCCATAGTATTATTTCCGCAATGTCGTCTGGGATGTGTTTTCTTTGTTCATTACAAGTGGCGCTCGACTTCCTGTACATATTTCAAAATGCCCTTTGTATCTTTAAATATTTGATATTAGGATCGCATATTTTCACGGCAAGATAACAACATCAATTGTGATTGAAATGGACCAATATTGCATTCTAGATCGTATTTTCAATTTAGAATATTGAGTTAGAGATTAGTCTCCTTTAATGCCCTCTTATATTATGTGCTCATAACATTTAATGAAACAAAAATGACTAACAAATGGTCAACATATAAAACGTTTCTGACGGCCAGATCTTGTGAGTTAATAAAACTTACAGCAGAATATTTTCCATTGAAATTCCAACCAGGAGTTTCATTGTCATGAAGATCATAAAATCCAGCTGAAATAAAAACAATCAACAACTTACAGGTGATGTAAGAAAATACACATCACTGAGGATCTTCTCTACTGGCACTTACAGAGAACTCGCTGGGGAAAATCACGGCGTATTTTTCCTGCTTGCACTCACAGAGAACTCCCTGAAATGGGTGGGATAGGGTAAAAATGTTGTACTTTCTGACCCAGACGTTCCAATTTTAAAGGACCTATTCTATCACATATGTACTATTGATGCATGACAACGCAGTCTTTTATAGGCCGCATGTCCACCGTAGAGTCGCCATTGCCTTTCATTTTAGATTCATGCGTTCATGTAGTTTAACAACTTTAAAGTAGAAGTTAATGTAACTTTACCCTCAAAAATATATAATGGCGGTAATTTGAAGCTATTTGCGTTTTTGAGTCGTGTACTTTAAGGGAAATGTTTGAAGCTTAATTTTCACACGTTGAGTATTTTATGACACATAAATTGAGTTTGGATGATTACTCAGTAATTTAGCTTTGTATAAATCTGAATCCTACTCCAACCCACCAACAGTATGTTTATAGTAATCTTCATCAGCATTATAATACCCTAAATATGAATCAAAACCTCGGTAAGTTGGTGTACAGTTCCAGTTACAGAAACCAAGATGCCATCTGAAATACAAAGATGAGCTTCAAATGTGTTATCAATGCGATGACTCAAGTAGAAATAGTTTTGTTTGGCGTCATTCAGCGCTATATGAATACATTGCAAACTACAATAATGAAATTTACTTACTTTCCTATTATATGCGTAGCATAACCAACTTTTTTTAACTGTTGAGGCAGTATTGTTAGGTTTAAAGGAAGACACACATTTTGCGCTGCTCCGATAACTATATGCTAAAAAGACAATAACTTCTAATGTAGGCTACATATCATAAGAGTAGCACGGCCAGGTTTTTTTTTAACATTTAAGGATAGAAGATAGTCATTTCACAATAGTAATACATTAACTGATGTTCCGATAACTCCGCCGGGACTTCCTGACAATTAACATACAATCTAATGAATTGGTTTACGAATCTGAATTAAATTATGGATCATAACTGAAACACAAACACAAGCCTACAATTCTACAAAAATCTACAAGGATACATCAGTCTCAACTCTTATACGCTCGGTATCTGGTATCAACTGGAATCAAAAGAAATATCAATAATGTTAACTTTAGTCACTCATATATCACAATTAAATAAACCTTAAAAAGGCGCATTTAAATGTCTTACTGTTAATGAATAAATATATGGTTACCTGCAATCCAGTTTTGAATGGATATATACCTGACATAAATGCTGATCTCGATCTAAAAATAGATCATAATAGATATTCTAATATGTAACTTATAATATATATAAAATTGGTTTAACATCCTATATTGTTCTTCTCCGATTGGGCATACGCCATACAGTGTGCTTTGAGGGAAATTTAGCCCGGGCAGCGGCACTTTGGCCTACTCGAATTCCAACTGCCAGGGGGTCTTTTACGTACACGCCAATGTATACACGGGACCTTGGATTTTCGTCCCATCCGAATAACTAGACAGCTGTCCTTGTCAGGCCCTCCTTCCTGCACTACCGACAAGGGGAAACCGCGTCGGAAAATCCCGATGAACTTTCTCGGCCAATGCATGGATCAACTTACAATATAACAATTATTCTGCTGTACTCATTTATGTGACTCAATCTGCATACTATAAATATTATTATTCAATACACATTGATTTAACGGTAAACTTACGGGCTACAAACCGGCAAAACGTAGGCTGAATCAAATATAACACCTGTATTAGCTAATTTATCTATATTAGGTGTTATCATATCAGGATTTCTAAAACCCACATCATTGAATCCTGTAATATAATATAACATCTTCATCAGCTAATTTATCGATATTAGGTGTTATCATAATATCAAGATTTCTGAAACATACATCATTGAATTCTGCAATATAATATAACATCTTCAGTAGAAGATAATTAGGCGTTATCATTACGATTTTTAAAAAACAACATCATTAAATCCTGTAATGTAATATATTTGTTAGCTAATTGATCTACACTAGGCGAGGGTCCTATTGGACTAATGCCATCTTTAAGCTTAATCTTTAAGAGCACATAAGGACAGCAGCCGAAATTTTCTGTACTTATAGCGCCACTGGTCATTATATACACAATTTACGGCAAGCTCACGCCAATCTGATTAAAATTATTCGACATATTACCCTTTTAATATCAGACACCCGAAAACACTTTTCAATTTTTCAATTACAGCCTTAATCCGGTTGATTCGGCGGTGACGTCACAGGGATCACACATACAACATACACTATTAAGGTCGTATCACTATTCATACACACCACCAGTCGACTAGTGTGTATTGACTGTTCCATTAAACATGCTCACTGACCTAATCATTACCCGGTTATAATTATCTATGTGTAGGCTACAAATCACTATAATTCAAAGCCTTTTTAAGAGCTGACCTTTCTAGTCTTGATTGTAATAGATTACATACTTTTGACTGGAATTTGTTTCATTGATTCTTAAAATGACTCATTATCTTTGTGTTGTTGGGAGTTGTGGAAATTCCATCAAAGAAAATGTGCATTATGTGCCGTCGATTCTCGGTAAAGACATTTTCGAAAATGAACATATCCATACAACCGCAGCTACGAATATGAATCACGAACGAACTGTATTACATCCAGCTATTACATCCAGCAGATTACATTGTCGGTGTCAGATTAAATGAAAACGGTATAACGGTGGGAGGAGACGGGAGGACAGATACTCCTGACCACAACGCTAAGTTTGTATTTGATATACAATTAGTCCAGGTAAGGCTCAATTCGTATTTATCACGTTGCAAAGTAAAAAAAAATATATTATGAGGTTTGTGTGAACCTTTATCTTAATCTAGCCGACAAACAAAAGATAATTACCTAATCAGCGTCGTTAATCCTGTCAGCACTCCTAACATCGAAGTGTTAATTAATTTACGTCTGTGCAACTTTTAGTCGGTATTGATTAATCAGAGATTACCGATACGTGTACACTTACACTGATACTTGCATTAATACACCAATATAGTCTGTTATTCAATTTAGTTGGTTACCGACAAAATTAATTAGCCCAAATTTAGTTGTAGGCCTACTGTTAATTCTAAGGTAGTGAGACATATTTCTTATTTTCCAATTTCACTTATTTATTTATTTTTTTTGACGGTATATTTTAGAGTAATGAAGTCAAATCCAGCATCCACCCGCAGAATGATGGTCTCATTCTCGATGACACTAGGTAAACGGATCCGCGAAAACCTGGTGAATATGATGCACGTCTTCGATGTCTTGCAAGAAGCTAAAGGTAAACTTGTTTTATCTGTAGCTTGATAGAGTTTGGATCATCATAAAACATACCATGGACATATCAAAATTGACTTTTATGTCAGACCTTATCTTGAAAGGCCGATGGAACGAAGAAGTTTCTAAAATAAATGTTAATTATAACATTATATTTATTATTGTTTCTTCGAGGTTTGAAAACAAAGTTGCCGACACTGTGTCCGCATCAATCTCCGGATTCCAAGCATAAGGAACCGTGCCTATTGGTGAGCTGCGACCAGAGACGAAGAAGATTCGACGCAGTTGTTTCGTCAATCACATCCAGAAATACTACCACGAAACCATTTCGTTTCGTAAAAGCTGACAATTTATTATCTCTTGACTTCATAGATGTTCGTAGCGCCGTCTTTAACAATTTTGCATCTTTCTGGTTGTCTTCATAAAAAGCAAATTATTATACAGGTTTACTCTTGTCTTACTCCAATTTATTCTGATCAAAAGGACACCGAGAATATGGCTACAGTGACTGTCTTTGTTATGGTATGGTAAAACAAAATAAAATAAATTACAAAACAAATTATTCCGTAGTCAATTGTTTTATTTAATTAGGGGATTAAGGAAACAGTCAGGCGTTAATGAATACACTTTGAGTGAAGATGGTTGATTTAACATTAATCAGATTGGTGTGAACTTGCCGTTAAGTGCATTCAGCACTGGCTACAAGTACAGAAATTTTTGTCTGGTGGTCTTATGTACACTTTAAATATACTTTTTAGGTTACAGATTTTTAAACGACCAACCAATAAAATATCGTTATAATCTGCAAGCTCTATTTAGCTATAGCTAACAGGGTAACTATTTAGAATCCCCAAAAATATATAACTTCTGAAAAAAGTAAAGATACTTAGAAATACAGCAACACTTGGATTATCTGAATTTCTTAAGAGATGGGAATATGAGAAAGAGAAACGAACTGCTTCCCAGGCACAATATCTATTCCCATTACAACGTACATGTATTTATAATTTCAAATTGACCTTGTTAAAATATGTTACTCTATCTAGAAAAATCCCCCTATTTAAAACCAAAGTTTTATTTTTGTGAATCGTGAACAGGGGTTAGAGGACATCCCTGGCCTATGACAACCCTCTAAAAATAGCCAATTCTATCTATGAAAGTAAACCGCGGACAAATAATTTTATGAATACACAAGTTCTCGATTACATTGGTTTTATGAGGTGTATAATTTATTCACCGTTGCCGTCCAATTATCTAAACTGCATATGGGTCTGAATACTAGTGAATACGCCAGCACAGAAAGGACACAAAGAAGATCGACGGCTTTGGGTTTTCATATTATTGTATAAATAAGATAGGCTTACCTAAATCATCAGCAACAATAAAGACAATGTGTGGTCGTTTGGCAGACACCAAAAGGCATGACAGAAAACAGACAAATACAAGAAAAATAATGTTTCCTCTAGCCATATTGAAACTATGTATGCATCCACTGTACAGTAATACCATATGTGGATTTGCGTATAAGTACAGCAACTAACAGATTTTTATAGCAGGCTACTGTAATCATTTTATCTTATCAGAGATTTTTTGTAATATCGTACTCGTTGATATTTATTGAAATTAATAATCTCTTATCAAATGATAATGAAAGCTATTATCTTTTAAAAGAAATTTTGAAAGACTTTGATCAACGTTAGCATGTCAAGGTCTTGTCCCATGGCCATATTATTTTAAGAATGTTCGTAGAATGTCATTAAGTGACGCCTGCAAAAAGTAGTGACATTATCAATAAAGTTATAACAAGAAAACTGTTTGTAAAATCTCAAATGGTTTACCAGACTCCCCGCAGATCTAATGCTAATATGAAATAATTTCCAGTATGCACCTAAATATACATCAACTACAACAAACAAGTTGTTTAACGTGGCCTCAGACAGACGCTAAGACAATACCCTTAAACAGAACTCGCCCAGGAACATGGTTTCTATTAGGATGAAAATGGAAAATGTATGCTATAATTGTATCTTCGGCAGCTCAAGCTGTCAGATTTACCACGACGTACACCGGATCATATTTATCGAAAGGCTTCGTTGAACAAAAGTGTTTATTCCTATATTTAACACATCTCTTCTGGACACGGAAGCTTTTGTCACCATTAAGACTATGGAGGCACTACTGCTTCTTAAACGTTTCAACCTCATTTCAACCCAGATCATAAATTCATCAATTTTACGAGTCAATAATTTCATTGGAGATGAAGTTTAGCTGGATGGTCGTGCATATCCATATGTGAATGTTGGACGGTTTTATGCCTGGTACACGATGTCCTGTCCAAATTCTCTAATGTCTGCATGGCACACGTAACTACAGAAATAAAATTTATCTGAAAACGACCAAACTATCACGATGACTAACCATTAAACCCAACCCCATCCTACAGTATTTTGAAATCAGACTGTCATTGTGAGAGAATGTGGTTTCGTTACCTGAATACAACTTCTTCTGTATTTCTGTAGAGTACGTGGCTAATATATTTGTGGTTTTTTTTGTGGCTTTTTTGTTTGTTTGTAGACTATCTTGTTCAATCAACTTGGCTGATGACTGCTGATGCCCATAACCCCGAGTTTGCCGGCTATCAAGTACCGGTTGATTCTGAGATTCAAGTCTCGATTACGACGAGTGTTATCATGTCCGAGTCGAGGAATGCTTCCTCTTTCTAGAACACTGGATAGCAACAATTCAAATATTTTGGATATAACAAGGACTAGACGCTTTCGATTTGGTAAAAAATAAAATATGCGTGACTATCTTAATATATTTACGTTTCCTTTCGTCCAGTTTTATAGTCTAATAATAGATTTTATATCTTTCCTGATTTTCAGTTTATGTAATTAATATATACTATTCAAAAAAAGTAGGAGATATTTGATTTTGGGGGCATAATACTAAAATATGCAAATGACTACGAAAAAAGTCACTATAGAACCTAACAGAAGAAACATTTCCAGTTACATGTGACGCCCAAACGCACCAATAGCTACCGCATGGAATGCAGGTGATGCTTGGGATCATCATGGGGGTCCAACCCAAGATTTGCACGACTCTGACTTTGAATGTTACAGTCATTGTGGCATTGAATTCCAGGGTGGAAACATCAGTTTAATTGTTTTAGTGACCAGAAAACAAATTTTGATATGCGTCGGCTTACCCAAAATGAAAGGTTACGTGCCCTTGGCATGCTACAGATCGGCACAACACAGGCGGTTGTGGCGCGGACGATGAATGTTTCTCAGTCTGTCATAAGCAGGCTATGGTCCAGATACCGTGATACACAATCTGTACAGGACAGACCACGCGACAACTCAAGCCCAGGATCGATTTATCCGTACCTTGGCCTTGAGAAATCGTGTCATCACAGCGCTCGTCTTCAAACAGACACTGGTGTGAGAGTGAGTGGCCAGACGATTCGGAATCGACTGCATAGGGGTCACCTTCGCGCCCGACGTCCTCGCGTGATCCCTTGTTTGAGAGATCATCACATTCAGGCAAGACGTCGTTGGTGTAGGGATCGTCAACACTGGGATAATCGACGCTGGAGCAATGTGATGTTTTCAGATGAGTCAAGGTTCACTGTTGATTTTTTGGACAGACGTAGGAGGGTGTGGCGTCGTCGAAACGAGCGCTTCCAAGACGTTAACGTCATCAGACATGATCGATTTGGGGGTGGTTCTGTTATGGTGTGGGGAGGCATCACTGTTGCTGGAAGAACGGCTTTACATGTTGTTGCAGGGCGTGTTACAGGCCAGTACTACCGGGACAACATCTTGGCAGTCCATGTTGTGCCGTTCGCACGACGTCATGGCCGCCGTTTCATCTTCCAGGATGACAACGCAAGATGTCACAGGGCCAGGATCGTTACAGGTTACCTCCAACAACAGAACATCACCACATTACCTTGGCCAGCACTGAGTCCCGACCTCTCCCCCATCGAGCATGTCTGGGACATGCTTGGACAGAGGTTAGGTCAACGTCAACAACGTCCTGCCAATGTCCAAGAACTTGCTGCTGCGTTGCAACAGGAATGGGACAATCTGGACCAAAATGACCTTAGACGTCTCATTAGGAGTATGCCACGTCGGATCAATGCTTGTTTGGCAAACAGAGGAGGATTTACCCGTTACTGACTTGGTTGTGATGCTGTGGTAACTTTGCTGTTTGACCCCGGGTATCATTTTACCCTTATAATGGTCAGTCTGTGCCTTACTTAGTCTAACGATCATTTGGAATAAATCGATGAATGTGAACTTCATTTCATTTTGTCATTTGTTTCTTCGTCAGTTTCATTAGGTGACTTTAATAACAATTAAAAATCAAATATCCCCTACTTTTTTTGAATAGTATATTTACGGTTTCCCTTTGCGTCAACCATCACTATTGTTCACTCTTACCCCACCCCCCACCTTCATACACGCATTCTGGTTAAATTATTGTTTATCTCAGATTAATATTATTAATACATTCCTCTTTGTAATTAATAGGACTTTTTCCTCCTTTTAAGCCTGTAAGAGTTTAGGCTGTGTTGTGTAAGACTATTGGTAGAAGTTGTGCTCTTTAAATTAATAATAAATTTATAATAGCATTATATTGTATCTTTAACTAATTATTGGATTCACACATTCTATAGAAGTGATCACGCACTGAAATGATGAGTGACGGGTTGACAAATAAAAAGACTTATCAAAACAAAACATAGCTGGTTCTATATGCCAGAAAATATAACCAGATCACTCGTGATCTGAAAATTCCGGTTACGTCATTTGGCTTAAGTAACCAATCATCATAATTAATTACTAGTATTTGACCAATTAGATAACTGAAACTCAACCGAAGGCTAGAAAACTATAACATCTCTGGGCATTCGACAGACAACCTTGTAGTTCTTGGAGAACATAGACCGTTGAGGCTCAAAAGATGCCATCTGGATTCAGAATGCCCCGTTAAGTCGTAGAAGAGCTATATGATGTAATAAGTCCGTCAGTAAACGCATTCTACGAAATGGAGGGGTTGAGAGAGGAGAGAACAACTTTATTGTAATATATGCTTGTATTCCCGGTAGATGAACGTCTTAACTACTGAGGAGATAAACGTCTTAACGGCGGAGATAAAATATATCTACAACGTGAGTCCTAAGAAGAGAATAAGAAGCAAATACAATCAGAGACAATAATAGATGATCACAAGGCTAATAAGATATGTAGCAGAGAAGAGAGTGTGTGGGGAGTTTTGTGCCTCGTGGCTTTCCCCATCTAACCAGCTACTAATGACGCACGGCATAGTGTTACAGTTGGTTTAGTTGTAAATGACCATCTAATTGTATTTGATTGTTATTTTTGTTACATATTCTTCATATATTTGTCTACTATTCACATATTTGTATCATTTGCTTGATAAAAACGAGAGTATTCTCGTCGAAACGTCGCTTCGTATTAAACTCAGTAATTGTGTATCCATAAAATTGTATAACCTTATTTTAATGCGTGACTGTGTTTATTTAACGTCTTCTTTCACGGGGTTAATGTCGCAGAAGATAGAATTAGTGTTGCCATTTAAGTGATTTTCTATTCAGATGAATTCACGGATAGAGTTAGTGTTACCATATGCTCTTTAAAGGCCGATGGGTATGATAGTAATGTAATTGGCAGTTTAATATGGGACCTTGGGGAGCGCCGACCGTATAAAAAATGTTCAGATCGGCAAAAAATAGAGACTCAGGCAGTTCCTGTACGCTATCCAGCTTTTATGGTAATCGACTACTCAGATCAGGATTGTTATAGAGGTATTTTATTATTATTATTTAACACTACGTTAACTCTTTTCTCATTTACGGGGAGCCACGGTGGCTAAGTGGGTAAGACGCTGGCTCGCTAGCCCGGAGGTCGCGTATTGGCCGAGAAAGTTCATCGGGATTTTCCGACGTGGTTTCCTCTTGTCAATGGTACAGGACGGAGTGCCTGACAAGGACAACTGCCTAGTCGTTCGGATGGGATCAAAAAACGAGGACCCGTGTATACTTTGGAGTGTACGTAAAGGATCCCTTGGCAGTTGGAATTCGATATAAAAGTAAGCCACAGTGCCGCTGCCCTGGCAAAAAATTCCCTTATAGCACACTGTATGGCGGATGCCCGTCTTCATTAGCCCAGTGTAGAAACAGAACAGTAGGACGTTAAACCCCATTTCATTTCACTTTCTCAGGCTAGACATATTCCACAACTCCTGTCAAACGGTGACGCCATATCTTACCTGGAGAGCATGCGCAATAGACGGGAATAACCAGGCGCTAGAAATTGCTATTCGGTTGAGACTCGTGCCGAATTTCGCTGGACATAACTGATTTGAAAAAGTCAAAACGGAAACAATTGAATGTAAATCAGTTTATATACAATCAGATTACATTATTATATGCGTTGCGAATCATTTGGGTCAATTTCTAGGTCTCAAATATTAGCGATTTAGCTCCTTAAAAAGAAGCTACAGATACCCAGATCATCCCCATAGTTCTTCTATGTCGGCAGCAGAAAGAACCAAATTATACACACGCGCCTTCGTCTCCAGTGCGCAGTGAGCTCAACGGGCATAAATATCTAAGACACATCTCTGACAATCCAGAATGTAATTGCGGTCATATCTTCGAGGATACCAAACATTACACTGTCCCGTATATTCAAATGACGCAAAAGATCTATATCTCTCGTGTCCCTAGTTTTTATTTCATCACACACTTTACATCGTGTTCGGAAGGGACGAAAAACTGAGGTCCTGTGTACACATTGGCGTGCACGTAAATGATCCATGGGTAATTGGAATTCGATATAAGAGTAGGCCGTAGCGCCGCTGTCCGGGCAAACTTTCCCACATAGCACACTGTATGGCGTATGTCCGTCTTCATTTTCATTACCTCAGTTAAACCCATTTCATTTCTTTTCATTTTCTTTACTTTACTTCATGACACACACAAAATAAAATGGTTCATACATAGTTCGATATTCCACATCTCCAAAGATTATGAATTTTTGATCATCATTATAGTGAAGCACGCTGTACATAATGTGTATCAATCTGATTAAAACACAGATCCAATTTCGTTTCGCTTTTATAGTTCAAAATTTCGATTTTACTTGTCTTTACTACATGATAATAAACAAAGTCTCGGTTATGCATTTTTACAGTTAATCATCAACTGCCGTTGATGTAAATTTGTTGAAAATCGAACCCATGAGATGGCACCGAGTGTTGTTTATGGTCTAGTCATGTTAATGCATGTCTAATTAATAGTTGATATAAAAAAATTTTTTCAGGCCTAAAAGACCAGCAATAGGCCGATTTAGCTCTGGCATCCCGCTAGTCTCTATCATCCAGAAAAATATTCTACGAATATTAGTCTGGATGCGTTGTCAACATTTGAGAATAATAGGTGGTTGGCTAGCTAATTATCCGGCTTTTTACATTATCATATACAAAGTCTAAGTATGGTAGCTAGTCCTAAAACAAGCTGTTGACGCCCATGAAATTTATTCAAGAATGCCATTTCAAAATATCCATTAGATTGCATGCCAGTTCAATATCCAACACGCTTATTTTTTTATTGTGAAATTTCTCTTTTCATCGGCGATATCTATGGTTTTTTTTTTAAAAATTAATCCTAATTCGTCATCACGATTCATGTTTGTTTATATTAATGCAGAATTATGGGATTTATAGGGGGAAGGGACACAACTCTTACTTCACTTGGTCAGAAGATACTGTATAATCAACCACGTTAAAAACCGAACTCCCGGTTACGCATGGGCAATAGACTGTTCATCAAATATTGACAACGGTCGCAGACCCCACGTACGTTGAAGACTAAGAATTTCTGTGTGGCCGAGAATAGCATCATGCCAGTTTATTATTCCGATAATGCTGTGTAATTACATTTTCTATTTTCACAGGTAATTATTCATGTCCATGATTTTTAAGATGCGAAAGATCTCCTATCTGTGTTGATGCTTCGCACATCTGTGACAATGTTAAAGACTGTCCACATGGCGAGGATGAATTAATCTGTGATTTCCCTTGCCCTGACTCCTGTACGTGTACAATTGGCCACGTCATTTTTCGTGGAAATGGTGCACCATGTAGAAGAAAAAATCAAACAGTTTTCCCATGATACCAAATATCTGAATTTAAATTACAGTCCAATCGATGGGCAAAATTTGGATTTACAAAGGTTTGCTTTATTAGGAGAACTTCATCTATCCTACACCGTACTTAAATCTATTATCCAGGGGATGTTCATACATCAGGTTAACTTATTATGTCTTATGACTTGAGTTATAACAGAATTAAGATCCTTGGTAAAGGAGTATTTCACGGATTACAGCAGTTGAAATCACTAAACCTCATCGGAAATAATGTTCTTCATAAATTAGAGGCTGGTGCATTTGCACAACTGCATTCTCTTACCTCATTAAGTTTATTGAACACAAAGATTGAGATTCTAGGTGCGGATACTTTTAACGGAATGGACTATCTTCAGAATTTAACTATATCAACAGGACTTCTTAACCTTGTAGAGGATGGGACAACTAAGTCTTTGGTGAACCTCAGCAGATTAGATCTGAGAAAGCAAAATATCCAAGATTTTTCGGGGGACATATTTTTCGGGTTGTCCAGATTAAAAGGGTTGTACACAGATTCGTTTATATTATGCTGTTTGAAACCAGAGTCAGTGACGGAGTGTCTTCCGGAGGCAGGTGAATTCTCTTCTTGTGATGATTTGATACGAAGAGAAAAATTGCGGATTTTCATGTGGATTTTAGGTCTTATGGCTCTGCTTGGAAATTTTTGCGTTATTTTGTATCGATTAGTATTTGACAGAGATGGATTCAGACGTGGATAAGGATTGTTTGTAACCAATCTAGGAAAATCTGATTTCCTGATGGGTATATACATGATTATCATTGCTGGCGCCGATATAATGTTTCATGGACGGTACATTTGGAATAATAAATGGTGGAGGAACAGTCCATATTGTCAGTTTGCTGGAGTTTTCCGGTGTTTTTCTGTGTTTTCCGGTATATAGTATAGCCCCTTAAAACATCTACAATCCCTTCTTTGTGCATGGGCGGGGGGTAATATTCTTTCCAAAAACAATGATAGTCATCAGTCCAGTTTGGTATCACGACGTCAGTCCTACATTTTAAAAAAAGGCCACTAAAACACAAAATATCGAATGTATTGGATGTAGGGCGATGACAAGGTGTGTGTGTGTGTGTGGGGGGGGGGGACAAAGAGCTAAGCCATTTCGTTGCTAACACAGGAAACAGGATAATAGGTGAAAACGCAAAATGTAGCCACGGAACGTTTTGTTTAAAATAAAATAACTAAAAGAATAATATATTGAACTGTTGTATAAAATAGTGTATTTGTTGCCGAACAAAAAGAATAGTGATACTTAATAGGATTAAAATATTTACATTTTCATTGATATCGCAGTAGTTTTTTATTGACCAGAGACGCACTGGGTAGCTTTGGGACTTCCGACCAACTCGTTTACTTGGGCACTCGTCGCGGTGAAGAATACATAGCATGACGAGAAGACGAAATTGGCCTGATTGCCTGATTCACCTTTCAAACAACCTACGCACAGATCATTTTCCTACTCGGATTTACGGCCATTATATTTTTCAATGGATACGAAGAAGAATTTTATTTATTTTCAAAACAATATATTTCAATTGTCTTTTCCAATTGGGCCCGGACGGGCTTGTTTATACTATAGATCAAATTAATCGATACATTTATAATAAACCGACCTCATACAGTTTAAAGAGTAAGATAAGTTTTCATTATTAGAAGGAAGGGTTTACAAATTCTATTAATTCTAAGGGCGGAACACGATGGCTCAGCGAGTAAGACGTTAGCTCGTTAACATTGCGCTCCCGGTTATTTTAGATTCTAGGTACCTAAAAAGTATACAAAACCATAAAAGCGATAGTCTTGTCATATTAATCAATTTTAAGTATCCCCTCACAATGAAGAAATAAAACCCGAAACAATATATAATAGCAATTGTAATATTTAATAGTTAAAGCAAAGTTGACAACATTTGTATTCATTTAAGAAGTATATAGGTAATGGTAATATAGGGGAGTATAATCACAAGGAATTCAAATATAGATTCATTTCCCAAATCTTCTTGATCAGTTTTAAGTGGGAATTAGAAACATTATATTGATTTTACTTATGAATATTGAAACAAGCTTTGGTATGTTAGATCATGCCAACATAACTTGGGAGCCACTGAAGGAGAGCATGGCAAATAAATGACATATGATTTCATTTTCATCTAACTCTTACTATGGGAAAACTTACTGGGAAGATAAATGTAATAAATATCAAAAAGCTGCGTGAAAGTAAATTATCCGCCCTTTCGATAAATACGGACATATAAAAAACATGGATATATTATACCCTGAATGTCCGAGGACAATTTCGTAATATATTTTTCTTTAAAAAAATACGAATAACTTTTTATCATACGATATGATGAATACCACCACTCTTCCTGTGCTCTTCGGAATAGATCTAAAAGTTTATGTTCTTGCTCTAAAGTCACAATTTAGTAGTAGTTTGCGCACATATTGTAATGACATGACCCAATGATCAGTGTTTAGTCCACCCGTTTTCATTCGAAACGGTAATGATCGTGTAAGTTTTACATTTCGTATCTTCCTAATAAAAGAGTAGATATGATACGTCATAAAAACAACAATGACTAAGTTTTGAAACACACACGAACTATTAAAACCAATCTGATTAAAATACAGATCTATATTTCGTTTCGGTTTTTTTTTTACTTTCGATGGTCTACACTACATGAAGATCTGAACAGTTGTACTTAGATGTCGCGTCAGGGGTCATACGAGCGGCTTTTAGCCCCCAGACGTCAGACCGTTTCAGAGGCTAATTCCTCACACCAACTTAAACGCCTGTTATACAACAACTCTTCCTGATCCTAGAGTTGTGAAGACAAGTGAAACGAAATTTTGAACTATAAAAAAACAAAACGAAATAGGATCTGCGTTTTAATCAGATTGTGTATATATTTATATATGTTATTGCCCAAACCGAACCTGTAAAGTTTCAGGCACGGCGGGTTGTTGCATACCGTCTCAAAAGTCTGCCCAAAAGTTTACCCACACCATAGACGTCATCTGGTTGTTTGGAACTTTCTTGGTCAGGTAAAACTAATTTAGCTGAAAGTTGAGTCTTCAGAATTTTCTATAAAGATAATGCACAAGTAACATTATTTACATAAATTGTTCATTGATTTTAAATAAAAGCATGGCATCGGGCTTTTGGTTTTATTTTGCGATTGATCAAAATTAAAATGTCTGTGGTCATAATATTTTTAAGAGTCTTCAGAATTATGCAATAAACAACCATGGACTTTTCAGCGATCTTTTAATGAAGTGGGTTTATCATAATTTAACTTTTCATTGTACTCTTCATTGACTTATATCCTTTCTCCAAACATTTTATGCCCAGAGAGTTTAATCATTGCTAGTTCATGGAGTAAAGCATTTAAAAATAGCTTACCTTGTTATTTAGAACAATAAGTATATCTTCTTCCGTGATATTGCCAAAATACAGTTGTTGACTGTGAACCGCCACCAGTCCACGCACCACCACTTCCACAATGGCTAGTATGTCACTGGCTGATAGCTCTGACGATGACAACAATGCTTTCAGAGTTATCACCTGATCACCTAAAGCTGCTGATCCAAAATAAAGATCTGGGTTGTCCCACAACGACTTCAGCTTTCGGATCATCACTTATAAAAGTAAAAATAATTGAAATAATTTTCGATATTGTTTAGTTATTAGTTAAAAGAACGAATGCCCTTGATCATCCACGTTAGTGAACAATTCCCATTGTATGTTCTCTGTGAGATTATTAAAAGCATTGCGTTTCTGTAATTTGAAATATGGAGGTCATATCTTTATCAGTGAATCTAAATACGATATTCCAATCGTGAATTTTGCCATTAATAACTAGAAACAATATTACCAGAAGATGCGTTCTCTGTCGAATACGTTGCTTTAGCTTCTTGTATAGCTGCTTTCTTTATTTTCTATAATATTAAAACGTTTTGCTTAGAATTAAATGTTACTTAGACTCATAACCGATGAAACGAAATGAAATGCGGTCTAACCTGGCAAATGAAAACGGACACATCGACCGCAGTGGGTCTTCATCGAATTTCAACTGACAAGGTTTCTTTAACGTACAGGGATGGACCTTGGTTTGTTTTCCATCAAAGGACTCGATATCCTGGCACCACTGACGATGAAAACCAGGCTTGAAAATCCCAATGAAACTTTCTGGGCCAATCGAACACGGGACCTCCTAATTGGTGAGCTAGAACTGGTAATCGTATTTTCAAAAATGTAAAAGTAGAGATTTGCTCTTATTTTACTTACCTTATTTCCAATAAATGACGTAACAGTATACAGAAATGGGTTTAAAGCTGAATTAACTGGTAATATAAATACTGCTGTCCATGCATAAACTTCACTATTAATTACCGTACCACTTAATGTCATTAATCCTTTATCAAAACAAAATATAAACAGATATATGTTCACAAAATTTCATAGAAATAACTATATACATCATGGAACTTGCTATGTAATTAACTTTCACAATGAGAAGTATCTCAAGTAAATAATATTCGGATTCATAATCATCCCTAGACAAGGCAAATGTCCTTCTTGCATTCTCAGACTAGCTCAATAAATTATGGGGCAAAATCATTCATGGCCTAAATCGAACCGAATCATGGCCTACATTCACGGGTTCATGCTGGTTAATTTGATACCACATATGTCGGGTGGATCGCGGTGACGAAGCGTGATGGGCGAACATACACTCACACATACATACATACATACACATATCATTAATTTTATTTATATAGATATCTGTATACCAGTGTAATTATAATTATATATTTTATATTATTTGCTTATTTTATTTTCATGTGTAGTAGTTTAATTGTATTTTCATTAACTAAACTGGACATAACCAGTCGGTATCAGAAGATATAAACTCGGGTTTAGCTTAAAGTATTCTAAAGTCGTACCCAAGCAGCAGACAGGAAACCAACAGATAAAATCCGTGAGCACGATTAGTGAAAGATTCTTAGCTACTTGTACATCTCTGGATCGTCTTCCTTTGTTTTGGACAATTGAACTTGATTTAACAATAGCTCTGTACATTAAGAGCTGACCCAGACATATTAATGCAAAGGTAAGGAAGTTGAAGAAGATAAATATTCCAGCAGAAAATTGCCATCCTGGTGTACGTTCTCTTGTTAATGGTAACGCTAAGCATATTCCTACAAGATACAAAGTAAAATACCCGTAAGCACAACAAATCCAAACTATAGATAATGGGACAATCACCCAATAATATTTTCTCAATCTATCATTTATCAATAATTTACACCATAATGGAAGTGGAACAATTAAAATAAATTTACTACAGTGATAATTCCGAAAAATATAAAAATACAGGTCATAAAACACCATAAATCCATAGGAAAGACTAACCTGTTCGGCTGTAAAGCTCTCCAGTAAATCCAGTTCCGGGTAGGATTGGTACCATGGCTACAATTATTGAAAATAACCATATGCAGCATGAAAAGATAATTGTTGTCAATCTGTTCATCCTGCATTGTCCAAACGGATACTTAATGATCAAGTAACGGTCTAGAGTGATTGCACAAAGGAAAAGTGCAGACGCTTCGCTTGACATAGTAGCCAATGCCCCAGCAAACTGACAATATGGACTGTTCCTCCACCAGTTATCATTCCAAATGTACCGTCCACGAAACATTATATCGGCGCCAGCAATGATAATCATGTATATGCCCATCAGGAAATCAGATATTCCTAGATTGGTTACAAACAATCCATATCCACGTCTGAATCCTTCTCTGTCAAATATTAATCGATACAAAATAACGCAAAAATTTCCAAGCAGAGCCATAAGACCTAAAATCCACATGAAAACCCGCAATTCTTCTCTTCGCATCAAATCATCACAAGAAGAGAATTCACCTGCCTCCGGAAGACACTCCGTCACGGACTCTGGTTTCAAACAGCATAATATAAACGAATCTGTGTACAACCCTTTTAAATTGGACAACCCCAAAAATATGTCCCCCGAAAAATCTTGGATATTTTGCTTTCTCAGATCTAATCGCCTGAGGTTCACCAATGACTTAAATGTTCCATCTTCCACAACGTTAAGAAGTCCTGTTGATATAGTTAAATTCTGAAGATAGTCCATTCCGTTAAAAGTATCCGCACCTAGAATCTCAATCTTTGTATTCAATAAACTTAATGAGGTAAGAGAATACAGTTGTGCAAATGCACCAGCCTCTAATTTATGAAGAACATTATTTCCGATGAGGTTTAGTGATTTCAACTGCTGTAATCCGTGAAATACTCCTTTACCAAGGATCTTAATTCTGTTATAACTCAAGTCTAAGACATATAAGTTAACCTGATATATGAACATCTCCTGGGGAATAGATTTAAGTTCGGTGTAGGATAGATGAAGTTCTTCTAATAAAGCAAACCTTTGTAAATCCAAATTTTGCCCATCGATTGGACTGTAATTTAAATTCAGATATTTGGTATCATGGGACAACTGTTTGATTTTTTCTTCTACATCATTTCCACGACAAATGACGTGACCAATTGTACACGTACAGGAGTCAGGGCAAGGGAAATCACAGAGTAATTCATCCTCACCATGTGGACAGTCTTTAACATTGTCACAGATTTGCGAAGCATCAACACAGATAGAAGATCTCTCGCATCTTAAAAATCCAGGACATGAATAATTACCTGTGAAAATTGGAAATAGAAAATGTAACTACACCGCATTATCGAAATATTAAACTGTAATGTACTAGTCTCGGTCACCCAGAACTTCCTAGTCTTCAACGTACGGAGGGTCTGGGACCGTTGTCAATATTTGATGAAAAGTCTATAACCCATGCGTAACCGGGAGTTCGGTTTTTAATGCGGTTGACTGGCCAAGTCAAGTAAGAGTTGTGCCCCTTCCCCAAACAAATCCCATAATTCTTGCATTAATATAAACAAACATGAATTGTGACGACGAATTAGGATTAATTTTAAAAAAACCCCAATAGATATCGCCGATGAAAAGAGAAATTTCACAATAAAAAAATAAGCGCGTTGGATATTGAACTGGCATGCAAATCATGCAAATGGATTTTTTGAAATGGCATTCTTGAATTAATTTCATGGGCGTCAACAGCTTGTTTTAGGACTAGTTACCTCCCTTAGACATTGTGTATGATAATGTAAAAGACCGGATAATCAGCTAGAATATTTTTCTGGATGATAGAGACTAGCGGGATGCAAGAGCTAAATCGGCCTATTGCTGGTCTTTTTTAGGCCTGAAAAATGTTATATAAACTATTAATTAGACATGCATTAACATGACTAGACCATAAACAACCCTCAGTGCCATCTGATTGGTTCGATTTTCAACAAATTTAAATCAACGGCAGATGATGATTAACTGTAAAAATGCATAACCGAGACTCTGTTTATTATCATAACAACGGTGACAATGACAATCGAGGCTAGACTATAATTACTTTCGCCATTATCTCGGCTCAGAGTAGAGTAAGTTTACTGAAATTTTCAGCTTATTACCGTTACATTATCAATTTTTATTAACTATTATATAGAGAACTGTCAGCTCGTTATCTAATCTTTAAGTTTAAATTGTTTTGTATTGATTTTGTCAAAACAGTAATTTGTCTGTTCCGAAAATATACAATAAATATAAATTTGACTTTTAAGGAGAAATAAAATTTAAAGTAAATATTAATATACGTACCACAGTTAATTTCATCTTGATTATATAAACAATCTGATTTACCATCGCATACCAATGAAATATGTATACAATAACTCTTACTGCATTTAAAATAACCATCGGGGCACGTAAAAGTTTCTGTTAACAAAAGGGTATTGAATGCTTCATAAATTTCTATACAAATAGAGACCCAATTTAATCACATCACTTTTATAAATGGATGATTGTTAATCTCGTTTGCGATATACACTGAATGTAATAATTTCAGCCCACGACGATAACACGTAAGATAACACTCGAAAGAAATTAAGGATTTTATGTTGTTGAAATAGGGCCGCTTGGTCAAAGCTCCGTTAACTTTTAACGATTCGTTAACATGGATTTAATGGATCGTTATCTTTAACTGGGGGCGTGGGGGGGGGGGGGGGTAATTCGCTTGTGCGTAGGTTTTTTTTTTATTAGTGGGAAAAAAAACACGAGGTCGAACAAGGGACCGTACTCCTTGTCACGAAACCACGCCAGCTGACTCAATGACAGACCGTATGATACAGCGCACACGTTCGTCTGTTGCTGAAAGTCCCGTTAACTTTAGCATGTCAGTCGAAGTATATCCTTAGCAAAAAAGTCATAGATTACCATAATCAAATTGACTTTCCATCAACAGACATTTAACGGGCCGTTAACTAGCGACACGTTAGCAAGATAACGATCCGTTAGTTTAAAGGATCGTTAACATAACTTAGTTTTTAGCAACCGGCCCATGGTGTATAAAATGTAGCTTTTAAAAATCTAGGCTTTCAATTCTGTGGAAGAAACAAATATATACCAAGGTTGACACCTTAACAGTGTTTGGGCATCATGACTCTAAAATCCTGAGATCATTTGATCGTGTTCAGCAGACAGGGTCTACTAGAGATCGACCAAGTATTGCGGGCTATCGGCGACAATGCCTCAACAAGACCGTACATTATTCTGCATATCTGTAGAATCACACGATCTGTTTCCCGTACTGCTGCTAAGGTGATGGGGTTTACATGGGTTCATCAGTGTTGACATTGTTTGTCGCAGACTATGCTCTGTCGAAATCCGACATTAAGTTAGACAAATTGGGGCTTTCACCCTTTGTGCCTATAGTGTAAATTTGGTATGGTCCCGGTGAGTTGTTGCTGATTTACATGGGTCATGCCTAAAATTACATTTCCGCTACATTATGTCTCGACCGCACTTCCATGTTTGAACTGACAAGGAGTAGCCTTCTCTGATTTTCACTCACATGCGAAATAAATTATTGAAACACAGAGGCATATCCTTCTATTCCTGAAATAGCCTAGTTTCTGCACCGCCACACGCAGAATACTCTGTCCCGCAGTTTAATCGAGTGAGCGTAAAATACGACACCTAACATTCCTCTATAACCAAATACGACACCTAACATTCACCTATGACCAAAGCAAGAAATATTGCCCGCCAGTAAAGTGTCTGAATTGCGTCGGACCTATCCAGAAAGAAACCCCACCTTATCTCTTTTTTTAATTATACGTCTGTGCTTTGGAAAGACTTACCACAATCAACAAGGTGAGTAAAATCCCGACATCCTTTGTATTGACCAAATCCGTCTGGTACCAGTAAACATTTATCTAATTGTGATATAACATGGTCGTTATCACACAAAACTCCTTCTGGTTTCCTTTTTTCTGTAGAATAAGCATTTTTCTTTTATAAAGATCAAAAAGGTCATTTCAAATTTATTTAGTCGTCGATTATAATTATAGTTGCAAGCCCCCCCCCCAAAAAAAAAAAAATCCCCAAACACAGTACACAATGAAACCAAAAATTATTTTTAAAATTTGAAGAAGAATGTCAGTAAAGTTATCTTTATTAGTTTGAGCATAATTTTAAAGTACCTTCTTTACAAATCAGAGGTCCAAGCATAAGCTTTACGTTTGAATGTGTCACGCCTTGGAAAACTATAAATGACATCGGCCCATGTAAATATCCGGTGTCTGCCAGCCATTCATGTTCATCGACGCCATACCATGCAGATAGTGGAAGAGAAAAAGTACACCTGCATGATACCAAAAAATTAGGCTTTTAGATTTCCCAACATCAATGTGATAAATGCTGATTTATATTTGATTAAAAACATTTACTTCTATTGCTAATTGGATTAAAATAGAAATATATTAGTTGGTGGAAAATTTGTAGTATCTATTTGCTGAATCATGGTTCTGAATCATGCGTATACCTTATTTGGGAGCCGCTGTGGCTTGGTGATTAAGTCGCTAGCAAAGAGGTCTCGGGTTGGTTCGCTGCATTAGCCGAGAGAATTCCTCTGGATTTTAAGGGGCGGTTTCCCTATGTCAGTGGTGCAAAGGAGAGCCCAGAAGGCGTGGTTTCCCTTTGCAAACTCTAGTCGGTCGGGTGAAACGAAAACCAAAGGGTCCGTATACACGTTGGTGTGTACGCAAAAGCCATAGACGGCTGTCATGCCCATCACTGCAATACTAAGAGCGGGGTGGGGGCGTAATATCAGTATAAATGATTGTGAATCCTCAAATGACTATAGAGACGTATACAAATACAAACATAATAAAAGTATCTTATGATTAGGACTGTTCGGCCCAAAATATATCCTAAATAGGAGTTACCCTTTCCTAAACAGGGTACAATATATCATAATTAGAACTTATTGTTTCCTAATTAGGACTCCCATATCCTAATTAGAACTTATTGTCTTCTAATTAGGACTTAATAAGAACTTTAAAATTCAATTGGCCTTAACACGTTTTCTTGCGCCTGTTCTTATATTCACCAAGTGGAAATACTTACCCCTTCTGTTCAAATGAACAGCTGTCATATACGAAACATGAACAATTTGTGTTTTTGGTTAATGATTGTACATTGATAAAATCAACTTTATCAGTATAACTGCTTTCAATTATCATATAATGTTCGCAGGATATGTAGTGATGTTGTATTATACGAACGTCATTCTGGAACTCTGGTTTCAATGGGTCGTCCGACTTCACAAATGTCGTCCCCTCTAACGAATGGTGAAAAATATTGTATATGTCCTTTTCATGACTAAAATCACAAATTACGTTGAAAGTTATGTCCTCGTCAGCTACTGGGATACCCGCCATATTTGTCGACTGATGGATGGCATAAACACCCCTGTTAGTGAAGCCATTTTTATAATAATCGGAACAAGAGCTAAATTTTCTACCGGAACATCCCGAGATTTCATCCTCTCTTGTATTACCCTTACAATCAACCTGGCCATCACAGACCCGTGATTTAGGTATACACGAGCCATCATAACATTGAAACGAATCACTGGAACATTGATCTGCAAAAATAATATCAGAGCTTTAAAACACACAGTAGCTATATTCTAAAAGTAAAGACTGCGTAACCAACAATAATATCAGAGCTGTAAAAACACAGGGTAGCTATATTTCAAAAAGTATGAAAAACCAGTAAACACGGCGTAACAAAAAATAATGTCGGTGCTTTAAAACAAGACGATAGCTATAATATTTCTAAAGATACGAAAAGCCAGTAAACATGGCGTAACCAAATATAATATCAGAGCGTTAAAACACGTGATAGCTATATTTCTAAAAGTATGAAAAGGCAGTATATAAAGCACGACAAAACAAAAACAATATCAGAGCTTTAAAACACATGGCAGATATATGTCTACAGGAATGAAAAGGCAGTAAACACGGTGTAACCAAAAGTAATATCAGAGCTGTAAAACACATGACAGCAACATTTCTTGAAGTTGAAAAAAAACACTCGCCATAACTCCTGTCATTTTATTAACATAATAAAATTGGTTAATCATGATTTTTGTATTGGAAGTAAGAGTTCAACTATACTGAGGCAGGATTATCATTTTTTAAATATGTTTTTCTATTTTACATCGTCATTCTTCAGATGTATATATAGTTTCTAAGGCACTATCCAAATTTAATTATACAGTATTTATCATGCATTCTTTACACCTTCATTCGTTAGAGTCGATATTCAAACATAAATAAACATTGTTTCTATGCGACGAATCGAATGACACCACCGTGAATATAACCACACTGATCAGCAGTGAATATTCGCTAGGCCGCGATAATCAATGATAAGGATGACATCGATGCGACTTAATGAGCCACAAATAGTAACTTTTTTCATCCGACAAATTAAATTCCAAAACATTTTTTTTATGTATTTGTAGGTAAAGATTATTTTCTATTTAGTGTAAATGGGTATTAAAATGAGTAAAAGGCTCCATTTCGCCCGAACCAGTAAGGTCTTTTGTAAACAATGCACGCGCCATTACGCCGCGAGATGAGACGTCACGTGTTCAAGGTAGTCATATTTTACAGAGATATTAGAAGACTTTCGTAATCCTCTGTGAAACAAATTGGAATATTACATCCATATAAAACAGACAAACCACAATTTTCTTCATCTGACTCATCTCTACAGTTGGCCGCCATATTACATCTTTTATTTCCTGTTATACATTCTCCATTTTTACATTGCCATTCTTCTGATGTACAGTTTCTGGGTACTATTCAAATACAATTATATAGTATTTATTCTTCCATGATTGTATGCAGTATAGCATGTAATAAATCAAAGTAAAATTCTTTCTTACATCAGTAATATAACGTCTATTCCACCCAAACCACAGAAAAAGTTAACTCCCCTTAAGCAATTGCCACATCACACGTTGACGAAGTGGTGCGTACACATGCCACTAGAGTGTGTATAGACTTTAGATGACCTTAGAAAATGGAACAATGGAGTTTTATGCTTTTGTGACCTATATAAAATATATATTTTTAAAAGACGACCGAACTTGGCGTTCCAGGGGAAACAGTTTAAACAAAGCAATATGCTAAATCTAGGTTTTTTACAAGAAAAATGTTTAGATTTATTCAGCTCTTTCCCTTTCTATACAAATCCATTTTCCTTTTATTATAAATGGATATCTTCCGTAAGGATACTAACATAATTCCATGCACCAATAACTTATAAAAATCATATTACCGCATCGAATTTCATCTGAATCGTCACCGCAGTCGTTTTTAAAATCACAGTAAAAAGCTCGAGAAACACAGCGACCATTTTTACAAGTGAAGCTAGTATTTGGGCACGAATGACTGAAATCTAGAAACACATAACCATTAAACATACATTATGCAAGAGCTAAATCTGCCTATTGCCGGTTTTTCTTTAGGCCTGAAATGTTATCTAAATTATTAATTAGACATTAATTAACTTATCCAGACCATAACCAACTCTCGATGTCATTGCTAGCCTCCGATATTTATTGGATTAGGATCTAATTTGCTGCTCAACTTTCATTCATGATTTAATCATGAAATGGATAATCGAGACTATGTTTTTTTTTTATCGTACCGACTTTAGTTCTGATGACGAGGCTAGGCCGAAAATTCAATTGCTAAATTCTCGGTTCACAGTGGATCAATTTGACTGAAATTTTCAGCAAATTCCCTTTAAATAATTTAGTTTTTAACTATTATAGTGAGAACTGCCAGCTCTTTATCTAATCTCCCATAATGTATCTTAAAAAAAATTACTTGAAAGCTAAATACAACTGGCGAAATTACAACCGGTATAATTACAACAGATTGTCAACGCATGCATGTATGAAGAATACAATCCACAAAAAACACCAACGCATAGTAAAGCTATTATCCCCTCAAAAATGAATTAAAAACAACAGTCACTTTAGCTTTTCTTGTATGGATAGTCATATAAACCTAAATATATAATATTATTACAATATGGAAACGGTTCAGTGGATCAAACCATGATGTCTTGACAGGGTTAATTTTAATTGAACCCCACAGCACAACAGACGGAATGTTGGGAAAGCGAAAAATTATAAGACCATTTTTTTTTTATCCATTTCTATCCATTTTATCCTATTCAAACAATTTATCAGGTGTTTTTTTTATTGGAAAATTAGATAATGCATATTTGACAGCAATTTCTGACATAAAATGTTTCTAGACGTTGCTGATGTTGTTAAAGTGGTTCGCGACCTTTAAGCCATAAAAGAAACAATAAATGAAATGAAATGGGATTTAACGTCCTACTGCTCCTGACTGGGCTAATGAAGGCGGGTATACGCCATACAGTGTGCTATGAGGGAAATTGTGCCCGGCAAGCGGCACTATAGTCTACTCTTATATCGAATTCCAACTGCCAGGGGATCTATTACGTGCACGTCAATGTATACACGGGACCTCGGTTTTTCGTCCCATCCGAACGATTAGACAGTTGTCCTTGTCAGGCCCTGCGTCCTGCACCACAAACAAGGGGGAACTACATCGGAAAATCCCGATGGACTTTCTCGGCCAATCTATAGCAGGGATCGAACTCGTGGCCACCAGGCTAGTGAGCCAGCGTCTTACCCACTTACCTACACAAAAGAAACAATATGGACCGATAACAAATCGTTACAGTATCCTTATCTCCTTGAGTAAAACACGTCATCTCCGTATGTCCATCTACGAACCGTAAAGTAACACGAATCGAATAATTTAGAGTAAGGAAACAAGCGTTGATCGAAAGAAACCCTTAAAATTACATTACATTTCTGACAATCGTAATGATAGTTACTTTGTAAGTTCTGCCTGCCTTATTGTCAACAATTTACAAATCATTATTTGGGAACCACGGTGGCTAAGTGGGTAAGACGCTGGTTCGCTAGTCTGGGGGTCGGGTGGTACGAAAAACCGAGTCCCGTGTATACATTGGCGTAAATAATATATATATGCAATTGGAATTCGATATAAGAGTAGGTCATAGTACCACTGCCCGGGCAAAACTCCCCTCATAGCACACTGTCTGGCGTATGCCGGTCCTCATTAACCCAGTTGGAACAGAACAGTAGGACGGTAAACCCCATTTCATTTAAATTCATATTGTAATTGTTAATATCTTATTATGTTTGCTTACTTACCACAATGATTTTCGTCACTACCATCTTTGCAATCTTTGTTTCCATTACAAACAAATACTAACGCTATATATTCTAAATTATCACACATAAAAACACTTTGTTTGTCACTGAACTCAGGATCTTCCTTATTTATGGTGATATCTACAAAAATGTACCCACATAATATTTAGTATAGTAAAAAATTGGCACAGCACGTACTAAACATTTCAAGGAATTTTTCAAAATTTTCATCAACAACGTTGCCTGGGAGCATCTCCACAAACCCTAGGTGCAAATTCAAGGTATAAGTTACAGAAATATGATCATATAAACACGAGTATTATGTCATGTTATCAGAATTTAAATATGATCTGCGTCATGCGAGAATGGGAGAGAGCGAAATTGGGTTTAACGTTCAGCCGACACACGCTAGGTTTCTTAACTAATTTATTTTAATAATTCGCTTGCGCGTAGGGATCTTTGGCAGTGGGGCTGGGGGCGGGGGTCATGGAGGTCCCGGAGAAAACCCATGAGGTGGGAACATGCGACCCTTATACTCATTTTCGCGTACAAGCTGGGGAAAGAAATCATGCCACACGACTAGACAGACCTTATGATCCAATTCGGCAATCCATTTGGAACATGCGACCCTTATACTGGCCATAAGAGAGAGGGAGAAATGGAGTTTAACGTCCACTCGACACAAATTAGGTCATTTCGGGACTAACACATGGTTCAATTTTATTTCAATAATTCGCTTACTCGTAGGGGTCTTTAGCAGTGGGAGGAAACCGGAAGACCCGGAGAAAACCAACGAGGTTGCCATTCGGCCATAAAACCCCTATCTGGTTATGCATGACATTTTCATGACGCTTAAATCTATGGTTAGCATTAATTTAATTAGGACATTCTAGGTACTTCAGCTCATGAGATAATTAAGATTACCAGAGTATATTAGATGTATTTGCGACGATCTCCGGCGTTCACATACAAACTGGTTAACTTGATTATAAGCACACGGCACATCTTGCCAAGATTTGACAAATCTACCAGAAGTTTTCTTCATCAAAACACAGTTTTCAGATCCAACACCATCAGGTTGATTTTTTTCCCTAAACATACCAATTCTTATATTTTACATAATTTCTTTCAAAATTATTTTTTCTAATTTCGAGTGAAGTATTTGTAATTTATTGTATAAAATGATCTACATGGTTTAATTATATCACATAGTCCTCTATTTTCTGTTTGGAAATTAATTTAAAAACAAAATTAAGATTGTCCCCATTATTTTAAATCATGAATATTAAATTATTTACCAGCTAGTATATGATAGCGGGTTACCATTTTCCCATCGCAGTTGGTCATCTCGTTTACGTAAACCTGTTTTTAAAAAAAAAAAAAAAAGTATCTATGACGAATACGCATTATAGAATAGCCAGATAAAATAACCCCAGCCATGTTTACAGAGCATTTACGCCAAGATAAAATCTACGATATAAAATGTCACATCCCATAATAGTATTCACAAGAGGTAACATCATCCAATAGTCCAATGATAGACATTAAAAGGTAAAATGTCAAATAATGTAGACTTCCAATAGTGGACGCCACAGGGTGAAACCAGGGGCGGACATGGGATCGTTCCCCTTGGCCTGGCCAACTTTCCAGCGGCGGTAAGTGGCACTTTCTAGAGTATATCCTGATATTTCTAGATATGTAAAAATTTGGCTTGTGGCTACCAGCAGTCTCATCCAAAACGACTAAATTCAAACTAATAATGACACCCAGACTAAAAGAAAGGGCCACAAAACTAAGTTAGAACATTAAATTCTGTATGGGGCCTCCGAAAATACTATATTCAAAGGCCTCTTCATTCTCAGTCTACCCCTGTAGTAAACAGTGGAAGATAAAGGCCACTTAAGGAAATATCAGATACACATTATAAGAGAATACTTGACCTATATAAACATCTGGAGATGTAATATTCCATTTTGTCGTCAGAAACGCGTATATTGTTTGGGTTTCTTGTTCGCTTTCAAGGGAAACAAGATGTCCGCTGGCATTTCTACAAATCTCTGCTGCCTGTACCCACGATATACCCTGCCGTTTACTGTAAAGCGTGTAACAACTCTGTTTATAATTAATCCACCCTTCCTCACACGCTTCGCCCGTTTCTAGAAAATAATATTCAAAATTGTTTAGCAGACGATCCAGATTTCAGAACACCGGTAAACGGATGTTTTCTGATCACTGAGTGTACAGATTCGTGAAATGCTTGTGAAACATGAATTTAACCACCAAGAAATATACAATTTACCAATTAACTAACTGCATTTGATAACGTCCGGTATCTGGGAGTTATTATTTCTTAAATTGCTTCATTAGAACCAGTGCAGGTTAAACTTTAAATGAAACTGCTACTCTACAGTTTCTAAAATATGCCACATTCTGCACAGTCTGTATAGTTTAACGGTCGAGTGCAATACATTAAGTAATATATTGATATTGCACGAGTGTGTTAGCACGAGGGCTATGTGTAGCTTAATGATCGAGAGCGAGACATTAAGTTATATACTGATATTGAACAAATGCGTTAAGTTAGCACAGTGCTATATCTATATTACGCAATGACTTGCACGAGACCATTAAACTTAAAATAAAGACACTATCCAGCACGTGCATTTCAATGAAATACGTAACGCGGGTCCAATATCTCAACTAGTATAAATAATGTACGCGTGGCACATTTGAAACAATGGTACGCCAACATCAAAGGATTACGTCACATCTGTATTTTAAATCTATATATATATATATTAGGCAATGTCTTGCACTAGACTATTGAATAACTTAACATATAGACACTATCCAGCACGTACATTTCAATGTAATACGTTACGCAGGTCCAATATATCAGCTAATATAAATAATGTACGCTTCTTTGGCACCTAGAAATGGACACAAATTTATATACATGTAAACTGATTTACATTCAATCGTTTCTGTTTTTCCTATGTTCGGCGAAATACGCAGAAAGTCCAAATTGAATGGCAGTCTTTGGCGTCTGGTAATACCAGTCTACACCTTTAGTATTTTCCCGTGGGATATGTTTAGCCTCGCACATCGAGTCGATTCATTATAGATGGCGCTCAAAAGCAGATGTCAAGTTTAAATTGTTCATTTTGTCTTAAATATTGGATAGCAGAAGCCCATTTTTT